TTTTTTAAAATCCAATGTGTGGATCACATAATATTTCAAAAATTTTAACTTTTGAGTATAGATGATCCGCACTGTAAAAAGGGAAAGGTAACCGCGACACTATAATCCGGGTCAAAATTTAAATCCAAACAAGGAAAAAAAATACTTCATATATTAAATATAGGAGTTACTAACTAGCCCATTTTTGGTAACGCTTAATTTGACGGTGACATTCAATAAAGTTTTCCCCGGTTGCTCCATTGTCAAGCAATTTCTGAACAAGCCATTCTTTAGCAACAAAATAATAATAGAATAATTTTTTGCGGCATACACATCTCAAGTAACCTTTTGGTACTGTAATGTCTCAAAGATAACTCTCTCTTTTATCAAAACGTTGGATTAATAGATCTAAAATATACATGTAGAAGATAAACATGCCTGAGAAATTTTCATCATCTGTTTAGGCCCTTTATATAAATACTTTTAGCAAAGGACCAAAATTCTCGGTACATACAAAAATTTGAAAAGTGATTTCTGGGGGAATTTTGGATTTTGTTTCTTATAAAACTTGCAAATCACTTCATGATGGAAAATAAGTTCAAATCATTTTACCATTGGAACGTTGAAAATAAAACATACTTTTTGGTATTGTTGATTCATTCTATGATAAGATTTATGAGACGATAGAAGAGGGAGAAAATGAAAAGGTATAGTTGAAGGTTGCTATAAAAGATTCTGGACATATTATCCGGCATCATCTCTTTTTCCAAATGAAATTTAACAATAAAATAATAGAATTGGCGCAATTGGCAGTTGTTTAACTTATGATTATGTTAAACCTTTTGACACTGGATGATGTTATTATGAAGTTGACAATAAATTTTTCTACTTTTGAGTTTGTTTGCTGGTATTATTTTTTATTTGTATAATTTATTAAACAATTAATTTAATTGTATTAATTGTTAGCATACATTTATAATTATTATTAAATTAAATTAATAAAGGTGAATCAATTACAGAAAAGCCTGTAGCAACACCGCCTTCTTTAGTATCCTTTGCCTTTGTTCTTAATAAATAGCCGGCAGTTTTATTTACAAATATTTTGTCTTCTTGCTCAACATCCTTGATAACCTTACCACCTAAGAAAAAACCAAAAATTCCCAATTCAGATATCATTTCCTCTTTGATCAATTCACCCTTTCTAATAACAATATTTTTAACCGATGGTGGTTTTATTAAATCCATTAAAATGTAAGATGATCGTTCACTTTTTGATAGATTCATCAGAGCTAGTGGTATATCACTTCCATAAATATTATTGCCACCACCCTCACGTTGTGGTTTCATGACAAAACGTTCTGGGTTTTCCAATGCAAGTTTTGTAGCCGATTCACCTTCTGGCGAAGAATCCAATGGATATAAACCTGCAAAACAAGATCGAACTTTTGTGACATCAGATGAATCTGATAAATATCTAATAATTGATAAACGGAGAGAGGAAGGAACGATGGAAATAAATTAGCAAGCAATTAAGATTATATCTATTTTTGTTTTAAAAAAAAAAAAAAAATTTTTGATTTTTTACCTTTCTAAAATACCAGGATTTGATAACACTTGTTGAAATTTCTTTGAACCAACAAGTTGGTAAGCAACGGTTGGACATTTTATTGATCTGGAACACTCTATCGCAAGTCTAGCACCCCATTCCTAATTAAATAACGATTAAAAATTTTTTTCTGATCTGGGAAAAAATAAATATATATGTACATACTTTGTGAGTGGGGTAATGGTCAGGTCCATAACCTGCACGAAAGTATGTAACGGCAATTTCTTTATCACCACTATTAATAACCAAATTAGATTAGATTGGACTAGGGATAAATGTAATTTGATTATTTCTTACATTAATAAAGTTCCTGTCTTTTCATCCAATTTTCCTTCTTCGTGAATTTCTAAAAGTGTTTTACGAATTAAATGTATCTTATGACTATAATAAAAACAAGCAATAATAATATCATTATTATTATGATTATTATTATTAGGGTAATTGTATAATAATCTATAATAATTACTTGTCAAATAATTTGTATTCAATCCATCTTTGGTCAAAAATATTATTTTCTGGTGACAGGACAACCATTAAAACATATGCACTAAATTAGCAGAAAATTAAATGTATTTTCAGGAAATCATTTTTTCTCTTTAAAAAAAAAAAAAAAAGATGATAAATTATTATTTTACTCTTCTACTCCATAAATCTTATGAGCAGCAGCAATTCCTTCTGGTATAGCATCCATTGATTCATTTTCAGGAAGTAAATAATCATCTGATTTCTTGAATAAATCTATTGAATCAAAATAATTTGTTTTTTCTAACAAATATCTTTAATTAATAATGATAATATGTGATTAATGACTATTGATTAATGATAGAAATTTTCTTGGAATGGCTCGGATTTACAAATAACGATGATAATATGTGATGTGTTACCTGTGTAATTGACCAGTTAATGTTGAAAGGCTGGAGAATGATGAGGAAATAGTGTTGAATTCAACTTGTAAAAGTTTTGATTGATTTGAATTTGGAAGAGAATGTGAGAAATAATCTGATCTGTGTAATCCTAAAGAAACTGTCTAATATATAATAAAATTTAATTAATATTGATTTTAAAAATTCACTAATTAATTGTTTTTAGAGTTAAATTTTTTAGATTACCTGTTTAACACCTTCATTTCTGACCTTAAGATAGATTTCATATAAATTTTTAATAAAATCATCCACTTTTATAATACTTTATGATTATTAAGAAATAGTATTCAATGAATAAATTAAATATAAAATATCAATGTTAATTATAATCTATTTGCTCACTCTTCTATGACATTTGATATAAAATCATGATCTTCAGATATTTTATGAAATAGTAAATTGAAAATTGGTTGTAATTCTAAAGCAGTCTGAAAAAGTTCTTTTGGAAATGGCGATGGAACTAACGAGACTGGAGCATGTATTGCTATTGCCGTGGCAATAAGTTTGTTGTTTATATCACTGCTGTTTGATTTAATTGCTAATCCATGAGCAAGACTCCAATCGATTGCTAACTCCTTAAGATTTTCAAGATTTTCATTTGAAATTTTTTCAATTGAAAATTTATTTTTTGACATTTTTTAATCAATTTCTAATTTTTTTTTTAGGATAGTGGAATTTATATATATTTAAGTTATTTAATTTGTCAGCAAATTAAACATTATGAGTGAGGGGGTTATTTCAATAGCAATATAATATATATTAAATATTAGTTTAAAGATCAATATTTATCCAGTCGCTGTGTAATCCTATTTTTGATAAAAATTAACTGCCGATCCCTTTTTGATACATACAATAAAATTTCGCTAACCAAAATTGGCGAAAAGTTTTTGTGTCGTCTTCGGGAATGGGTTAAATGTTTAATAATAAAAGACCAATTAAATAAATTTATTCCGTTTTTTAGAAAGAATAATCTATAATTTTTTATTGCCAATAAACAGCTATATGGCAATTTTTTTTGGATTAATTTTTTAAAACTCATATTTGTGATGTGTGTTAACGCTAACTAATAAATTCTTGGTTCGAACAATTATTTTTTCATTTCGATAGGATTTAACCTTTACTAGAAAAAAATAGATGAATTTTATCATCTATTATTTGTCGGAAAAAGTAGATGAATGTTTTATTGTCGTCTTTATTATCTATTGTCTGTCACTCCAACATAAATACGGGTGAAAATAACACCGGTATTTTTCTTTTTGCTATTAAAAGAAATTGTTTCGTAAAAAAAAAGACATCTATTTTCTCTTCAATCGTATTTGGAAAATACGCAATGTCAGAAAAATTCATCTGTTTTGATTAAGACTTACATCGATTCAAACCTGAAGACTTGTGCAACTTCTTCTATATAAAGTACGATCTACCAATCTTGTATATACAAAAAATCATTCCACCATGGTTGAAATGGAAGTCCCTTGTAAATGTAATCTAATCATTTAATTCTCACCATCCAACCGTTGCAACAATAACAAAACAAAAGGCCATATTAACTGCAGCAGGAGATGAGAAACTCTCATACAATAATCTGTGCTGATATTGAGTGGACCTATCCAACGTCTGATAATTCAAACGACCAACGTAAAGAAAATAAATCGTCAACACTCGTAAAGGAAAAAAACCTAATGGTAATAATACACTGGCCCAAGTCTTGGCAATGAATAACGCACCTAATTTTGTGAATTCAGAAATTGGTTTAGAAAATGAAAATGAAAATGAAAATGATAACATTAATTTATTAATAATTCAGTATTTTTAATTGTTGTCATTATTTGTAATAGAGATTGGATTCGGTCAAAAACCTTAGTAACTATTCAAATTTTTTTTAGTTGACTAAATAGTCGATTGTCTTGGTCAACTAATATATAAAAAAATTAAACGAATTAATGATGTTGTTGTTATTATTATTTCTTAAAAAACCATGTACCACGCTACCTCCTTTATTCAAAGGTCCCATTTAGATCATCGGACCAAAAGCAAATGAATTATTAGATCTTATATCAGAAGCATTCATTGGCTCATACATAAAAATTATCATCTCATCAAAGTAGTAAGTAATAAGATTGCTTTAATCGATTATTTTAGTCAACTATTAGTTGATCAAAAAAAGATTTTAATCGACTACGACCATTAGTTGACTAAAATAGTCAATTCAATCTCTAATTTGTAAAACTTCTTGCAATAAAAGTTGATGCTTTCATTATTTTTGTTTACCGAATAAATCCTAATAATAACATTGTGCATGTGCAACAACATATGCAGGAAAATCTATTGGAAAACCATTCAAGATATGGATATATGTAAGTTGTATTTTTTATTTTTCATTTATGTATAATTAAAAAAAAAATGGATGGCAGAAATCAAAAATTACGCCATTCCAAAATTCATGCCTCAAAGCTTCGATACGCAACCTGGACAATCTGATTACCTTTTCAAAATGCCTTCACACTCAAACATAAATGAAAAAATGTCTTCTCCAGGCCAAGACTATGTGGCGATGGGCAGAGCCTCTTCCTGGGTTCTATAGAAATATTATCATTGTTTAATGTTGATTGGGTGGAGTGATTAGATACAAATTTCCGATTGGTTAATTTGATACGAATTTAAAATACTTTATATTATTTTTAAATAATATACTAAAAAATTAAAGTATTAAAGGTAACACAACGAGAATTGATTTGATTTTTCCGGGGTAATTATAATTATAATTTATTATGCATTTACTATTACGGACGAAAAAAAAAGCTTTCGTGATAACGGAATCGATCGTTTTTTTTTTTTTTTTTTGAAATCAACATATGAATATTGCTAAATGCACGCAACATTTGATTTGAAAATTTCAATTTTTAAATTTTTGAAAAAAAATAATTTATATGTTCTCATTCATTGTTTTTCCATTTGAGTTACATTTTTATATATTCTATAGTAAAAAGATAATGAAGGATAATTGTCCTCCTTACATAAAAAGCGATAAAAACTTCATATGGTTACATTGTAAACATTTAATAATTCATATATTAATTATATTAATTATTATTTGTTTACGTTTTTAATTAATTAAATCGTTGCACAAATAATAATAAACATGAAATTTAAAAGTGATTTCTTTTTCTTTTTCGTATGATACGAGTTTAATTTATTTTTTAATTTCCAATTAATAAAAAGTGCGCGGGCTAAGTCAAAAAAAGTATCCTTTCTTTTTTTTTTGACTAATTACATATACATTCATCCTTTCTTTACCCTCTCCTCATCTCCTCTTTTTTCTCCATAACATTCTCTTCCTACCTACACCTACATCTGTACCTAAATCTTCATAATCACATTATTCAATAATATCTACCTACATCTTTTATCATCCATTTTTCTATCACTAATATTAGTATTACCATTTATTCTAAAGCTCGCCTAATTACTTTAGAAAATTATATTATTATTGTATATATACATATTTCAAAAAATATATACATACCTATTTCTACATTTGCATATATAATTTATATCATCATATACATGAACCATTACTACCACTTATAAAATAATATACATCTAATATAATTAACATACACACACATATATATATATATAAATAAATACATACATGCGAGATGAATAGCCTTCAACTACAACAAACGATCTTTAAAGCTAGCAAAGTTTTAATATTTGTGTTTAACATATTGATTTTTATTTTGGGTAAGCAGTCAACTAACTAAAATTATGAATAACTTGTAAATAATTTTAAAAATCGGTTAATAATATTAATTCTTTGGTTATGTTTTATTAGAAATCGTTGAATATACTTCATTTAGACTATTTAATGAAAGCGTAGATATACCAACATCAGTATATTTCACTGGTGGAGTGTATGTACTAATTGAATCGAATTTGAAATTTAGAATTTAGAAATAGTATCTCTCTCATCTTTGTATTTATATAATAATCTGATTTTTTATTGATTTATAGATTTCATTCAGACAACCACAATCTTTATTATTACAATGGTGTAAAAGTCTTTTATTACATTATTATATTTATCACACTCCTTGATTCTGGTAAGCGAATTTTTTAATTTGAGAATTTCTTTAAAGCTCGGAAAAGGTTTTTTGACTCGAAAAATTTTTTTTTATATAGGTCTCTATGTCACACGTCATATTAGTTTCTACAATGGGCCATTCAGACGTGACATTTCAATTAACGCGTTAGTATTCGTATAAAATTTGTTTTTACTGCTAATGTTTATGATTGACCAATTAATCATTTTTTTATTATTCCATCCAAAAAAAAAACAGTTTCTTTGGAACTCTCTGGGTGACCGCAAGTAATCGTCATTTCTAATTTTTTTTTTATATATCTTTCCACCCAAAATAACCCAATCTAATCTTATATTTAATCTAAATAACCACTCTAATTAAATCAAAGGTTTGACAAATATTTATCCTATCTTTGAAGGATTCTCATATTCTTGCGGTGATATTCAAGACGGATTACCAAATGCTGACGCAATGGTCAGAGAATGTCGTTCCATGTTAACTAGTGTTGCATTCAGTTGGGTTGTCACCATTCTTTTCGCATCCACAACTTTCGTCTCGTACAAAATGTGGTTCGAAAGACAAGAAAGATATGAGGGAGAGCGTAGAGTCGAAGCATTGAGTGAAGTAGTCTACAAGTATAAACCTAAACAATCTACTTTAATTGAAATCAATGAACCTGAACAAGTTTTGATTTATAAAACTTTGGATAAAAATGAAAAAAAGAAATCCCTTCCCTCTTATTTGAGATAATAATAATAATGATAATAGTAAATAGTAATATTAATCTTTTTGAGAAATGTGATTTGATAATAACATATTTACATATTTTCGCATACTTTTTTACACCATCACACATTTTTTCATTAACACATTCACATATAATCATATAATTCGAAAAATAAAAATTGTTCTATATTATTTTTGACCTTAATAAAATGGATTAAAATGAATTGTTATAACACACACATACACACATATAGTAAATTAAATTTGCCATTCCAAATATATTTCTTCTTTTTCGATAGATTCTTTTAACGCTTCGAGATCTTAAAGTTTTCTTCCATAACACTCTGTTTAACAAATAAAAGTAAAAATTAAATATCTAATTAAATGATGACATTTTTTCTTCCTTCTTGACTCTAATCAATCAATAATTTCTTTTTTGACTTAACAATATTAAAATAATAAAACAAATCATTGACAAACTCGTTTTGTAAATCGAATTCTTGAAGCTTTAATATTTGTTTTTTTTCGTATCAACTCCATTTTTTTTATCAATGACATTTTATATTTTATAAAACAATTAACGTTTATTTATACAGTGCCAATTATGGAAGAAGAGAAAGTTGGACCGATTATGAGATGTAATTTTTACTTTTTATCCAGATAGTTGATATTTAATCATTCATTTAACCATTTACACTATCACTACATTCACATTTCAGATTCCTTAACCAGGCACAAGAAGGTGCCATTTATCACAATCCCTGTGAGGAAACCTAAACTATCCACGAGGACTCAAGGCGTGAACTTATTAAGACCATGATAAAACT